TTGAAGTCAGAGTTGCTTCTGTTGCTTATTTTTTCAGGTTGGATTCCCTGGTTTTGATTCAATGTCTTCTCCTCTAAACATGTTGATCAACAATGAACGTGCATCATATTGAAACCATTATTGGGAAAACCAATTTAAAAAGGTGTGACTCTCGTAAAGTATACTATTTGATATGTTGTTGACCTACATTTTTACATGCCTTTTAACTGGATGAATAATTTAATGGTAGGTGCATCTACAAGAATCCTTCCTTTGTGGTGGAACTCTTTATCACTAGTATTTCTATTTCTTTTGTTGTTAGTTCTACAATCTTAGCTATCTTGTCTTGTTGTATTAAGACCTGGATGTTGTATTGCTCTCGAAGCAACATACTGTGGTTATCTATCCTCCTGTGTAAGTTTATTGGTCTTTGTTCGGCACTCTTTAGAGGAGAGTTTGTATGCTTTTAACTTAATATATTGGAGTGTTTGAAGTTAAAAAAAAAAAAAAGTTTATTTCCATAAAAAAATAAAGTCAGACTAGAGGTTACCAAACTCATCACTAACCATGTCAATTAGGGCCAAAGCTCGGTCTAGCCCAAAAATATCATGTTAGAGTATCCCTTGTCAATATTACGAAAGTATGTTTTATGTTTATGAAAATTCCACATCAAATACGGAGATAAATGATAAGAAAAGTACACAGTCCATTCATCGTTTAACGTAATGAAGGAGCCCTTGATAAACGTAAATATTATTTGCTCACTGATGAGTGTGGCTATCTCTACAATAATTATTTGAGAAGTAGAAACGCACCATATTGAAAGTTAGGGCATTGGAGGCCTGTGGTTAAAAGTTGGAATGATTTGTCCTAAACACCCTTAATGAATTGTTCTTCTCGAAATTTCTTCTTCTTCGTAATTAGGGGTATATAAGTCTAATCGTGTGTTGATCTCTATACTAATGTCCTAAACACCCTCGATTTCGAAATTTTTTGTTCTTAATTGTTAAGGGTATATAAGTCTAATCGTGTTTTGAGATGATTAGTCTTAATCACCCTTAATGAATACACTATCAAATCCAGTTTTCTATTTTTTGGTGAGGGTAAAACAATAAAATCGTGTGAATTTTATTAAAATATAGAATATTTCGTTTTTTAATATTAAAATATAGAATATTTCGTTTTTTAATATTAAAATATGGAATATTTCGTTTTTTAATTTTTATAAAAAGTTAAGATAGATATTAAAATATCTTACGAATATTTGTATCAAGAAATTTTCCAATTTTAAAAAATAAATTTTTAGAGATAATTATGACAGTGTGCCCTAGATTTTAAGCTATAAATATAGAGCCGCAGCCACACCATTAGAACTCAGATTCGTTAGCCTAAACATATCGTTTTGATATTATAGCTTTTTTTTTTTGTTGCTTTGGTTCTTTTATGGATCGATTTTTTTATTTTGCGTTATTATTTTTTACTTTTTCTTGAGGTTATATTTGTATTGTTATTATCTTGGTCTATGAATTATTAAGATTGTTATTGTTTTGCTAATTTGTATCGTGTGAATTATGTTTTAGGTAACCGCTCATGGGAGTTTCTATCAAGAGATTGAATGAACGAGTTGATGAAGACATGCCTCTTCATTAAATTCATTAACAAACTTTTTACATCAATCGTGAGTCCTCTTTAATTTTAGTTAGCGCTTCTCTTATGTCTCTTTGTAAATTACTTACAATTTTATAATTTGTGTTGGTTTAATTATTGATAGTTGTCTCTCATCAGATCTGATGTAAAATAATTTTTTACCATGCACTACATAACGAAATATTTTTTTTTTTGTCAACGTTACTCATAGTTTTTGTGTTTTTGAAGGCGGAGCATTGCGCTGATGCGGAAGTGATTTACAAGTTTTTGGAGGTCAATGAGATTGATAAGGTATATTATAATCGACTATGTTTTAGATTTTTTTTGTTTTTTCTTTTTATTTTGTATATTGGTTGTTGATTATTTTCTTTGATTATTTGTGTGATTGAGACCTTTTTTTTTATATAGAATATTTGTTATTCGTAGAAATAATTATGTCGTGTTATTATATGAAAGATTTGATAAATTATTGGAACTATGTTGGTCAAGGTTCTCGAAGAACTCATCTCTACGTTTAAATCGATCTGATATAAACATGTATTTTTGTATATTAATATTTCTTAATTTTATGAGTTTTTTTATTATTAGATGACTACGAGAAGGTAATCTCTAATCTACTATTTTTATTTGTATTTTGTTATGAATTATTTATATGCTTTCTTTTGTTTTTTAGAAACTCTAACATTAATTTGCTTTCTAAAACATATTGAGTCTATTTTGAAGCTCGGGAAAAACAGAGTTCTCTAAAACGATATCTGTCGAGATTGCATAGGTATGTCTATCGTGATGAAATTGTTAAATAGATACTGGGCTTCTAAGAAATTCTATCACTTTGAATCCTTGTAATCGTGAGAGAAAAGTTTAGGGTTTGATTGTTTCAGTTTTGATTAGTGAATTGAAAGATGCCGCAATTTCCACATATGATTTTTACGTTCAATCATAATTTGGATGTGTGGAAATTAATACTTGAATCGATGGAGAGAAGATTACAACTGACGTGTGAGTTAATTTGTGTATTTTATGGTACATGTTTTCGTCATGGATCAAAAAGTTCAATCCCATCTTTATAGGAGTTAGGCTTTCATCTAACCTCTTTTATATTTGATAGATTGTTTGTTGTGTTATTTTTTTAATTTTAGATTCAAATATATATTTTTTAATTTCAGTTTTAGGCGACTAAAGGATTGAATATGCTATGAATATGTAATTTTATATTCTTTTGTTTATTTAATTGCCATTAACCTATTTTGACTTTAATTTATATGTTTTATTATGAGAGATAGGAAAAATAGCTAATCTATTTTGACTTTAATTTATATGTTTTATTATGAGAGATAGGAAAAATAGCTGATCAGTGATTTTTGGTTGTCGGAGACTGATCCGAATGAGCGACGGTGATGAAAATATGAGTGGTGGATAGAGACGCAAGGGATCGGTGAAGTTGTTTAATACACACAAGGGGTTTGGTTTCATCACACCAGACGACGGTGGTGAGTGGTGACGATCTCTTCGTTCACCAGTCCATTAGCTCTGAAAAATTTCGTAGCCTTACCGTTGATGAAGCTGTTGAGTTCAAGGTTGAGGTTGACAACGCCAGTCGTCTGAAGACTGTTGAAGTTTCTGGACCCGAGGGTGCTCCTGTTCAGTGAAATAACGGCGGTTCATCTGGTGGATGTGGTGGTTTTGGCTGTGGAGGTGAGGACGTGATGGTGGAAATTATTAAGGAGGATATGGTGGTGATGGTACTTGCTTTAGGTGTAGTGAACCAAGTTATATGGCGAGAGATTGTTCTCAAGGTGGTGGAGGATACAGTGGTGGTGGAGGTGGTTGAAGGTACGGTATGTTGTAGGTGGAGGTGGTGGTACTTGCTTTAGTGGTTTTATTTGTTTCGTTTAATTTTGTACCAATCTTATCATTTGTATTAAGGATTTTATAACTAGAGACGTAGGTACATATGACAAATGTGAATGTTTTTATTTATGAATTATAAAACATGTTGTGTTATATGTCATTTAGCTTATATAATATTTAAAACGTTTGTGGATATCTAAGAAGTGAAATTATTGGGGCCGGAGTTATTTGACGAACACATCAATTGGATTTAAAAAATCTTTTAACAATATGCTATGTGTCATTATTTCATCTCATAAGTGATATTTCATTAAACTTTAATCTATTATATACTTTATGAAATTTTTTAGATTAAATCTATTGGATACGATATCTATGATTCTTACATTTGAAATATATTTTTGTTTTGAATTAAAATTAAAAAATTAAAATCTGTAAGGGTAGTTTCAGAAAAGGATGAAAATAAAAAAAGACACAAAGTTCTTTTATTCTTAAATATATTGACATGTGATTTTCATCCCACATACTATTTTTAAATTATATGTTTATTATATACATATAGACACTTATATGATTAATTAAAGATTTGCTCTCTATAGTAGTATTTAATTAGATATTTTTTAAAATTGTTCATATAACTTTCTCTTTGCTTTTAAATTGTTTCAGTTTTATTAAATTTAGTGATCACTAGAGGAAAATCCGGGCGTTAATAATTGACATTTTTAGATTAATTAACTTAAGTTTAAATTCAATTTTAGTTATATATTAAAAAGTCATATGATATTGTATTTAGCATTTTAATAAATATAACCTATATGATACTATTAATCTATTCATTCTAATTTATATTTACAAATTGAAATTTATTTTTTGTTTCTTATTATTACTTATATAGTTTTTTTTCTCATCTATATAGTCTCTAATAATCTTAAAGGAAAATGATCTCTTCATAATAGTATGAAATGTACCTTTTCTAATAGTAGTTTTAATTTTGGAGAAATTCCAAAAGCTTTTCAAATTTATCTTCTTTAGTTATGTTGTTAAGGATTTGAATATGTGTAATTTGATAACTTGGTTTCTAATGTTATGAAATCTTGAAGAAAAATAACAAAAATATCATTATTTTTAAATAACCAAGCAATGGATTAGCAAGTAAAGAACGATGGTTCTTGTGTGATACTACATCATTGACTTTGATCGTGTTAAGAAGTCAATATTCAAATTCCCTTTAAATGTTTTGATTAGTTTATTTTTCACTTTATATGTAAAAGCTAAAACTTTTCTTTCCCATTTTATCAGCGGCTTAAATTTAAAATCACTTTCGGAATTTTAGCAGCCAAATTTTCAATTACTTTCAACCTAATTATTTTAGTTTGTTTGAACAAATTTGACCTAATTATCTCAAAGCTTGAACTGAACGTATCCAACACATTCGCTTCGACATAACGACAAGAGCGGAGTAGGGAAGACAAAATTTTGACCTCATGAATTTTAAAGCCTTGACAAACTTGATATATGGTCATATTGAAATAAACTGCAAGCATGTAAGAAAAAAGTTAAATCTCAGTAATATGAAAGTGTATGTAAATGGGTCATTCTTATTATTTATAAAAAAAACCATTGAAACTTTTTGAGGAAAACCACATGCTAAATGTTTTTTAAAGGAACATTATTTCATTACACATTTTAATTTTCATTGAAATTGATTCCAAAACTTACGATGAAAGCCAAATATAATACTATCAAATCCAAGTGAAAGTATTTTATTTTTGTTCATCACAGTGCGTTGAAGTTTTGTCCTACACATACACACATCATCTAATCACACGTATAGAAACAAAATATACATAGAGGGATGGATCTTTATGTTAGTAGAGCAAAAATACCTCTAAAGCGTGAACTAAGGTTTTTACGCTTCAGTTTTT